AAAAAAAAAAAAAAAAAAAAAAAAAAAGAGGAGTTTGCTTATCCAAGGTCACAGAGCAATATGAGCAAAACCTCAGTAGGATCAAGATCATAAGCCACACTACCTGTCTTCTAGCCCAAGTAGTTCCTTCTGCCCCACAGTGCCTTCCCCTAGTTCTTTTAATGCCCACAGAGCCCCCTTGGCCCCAGAAGGAGAGATTGCTTTGTGTTGAGGGACTAGAGAGACAGGAAGAATGAGAATCCTAGCTCCTCCCAGGAGGGGAAAGAAAAGCACTCTTCTCAGGAAATACTCAAGGATTTCTTCCCAAAAGAGCCAACATACCTCCGTCAATGTCTCCGCGGCAGGTGTGGCCACAGCCGGTGCTGCAGCATTTATGCCCCGGGGGACAGGATGCATCCCCATCACACAGCTCCTCACACGGAAGGGGGTTGGCAGGACATTCACCAACAAACTCTGCTACAGAATCAAAGCATTGGAAACACATTTTTCATTGTGTCCCATGTATGTGTTTATATATAGTTGCATATTTATAAACATACATTATTACAGACATAATGTACATATTTATGCGTATCATATATCTACAATACATTCTGAATTTTTTTTATTATACTTTAAGTTCCGGGGTACATGTGCAGAACGTGCAGGTTTGTTACATAGGTACACACGTGCTATGGTGGTTTGCTGCATCCATCCCTCCGTCAGCATTCTGAATTTTTTAAGGCATAGTCTCACTGTGTTGCCCAGGCTAGCATGCAGTGGCACAATCATAGCTCATTGCAGCCTCAAAATCCTGCACTCAAGGGATCCTCCCACCACAGCCTCCTGAATGGCTAGAACTACAGGCACATGCCACCATGCCTGGCTAATGTTATTTATTTTGTAGAGACAGGGTCTCACTGTATTGCCCAGGCTAAAGTGCAGTGGCACAGTCATAGTTCATTGCAGCTTCAAACTCCAGGGCTCAAGGGATCCTCCTGCCTCAGCCTCCAGAGTGGCTAGGACTACAGGCATACGCCACCATGCATGGCTAATTTTGTTTATTTCATAGAGACAGAGTCTCACTATGATCTCAGGCTGATCTCTAACTCCTGGTTCAAGTGATCCTCCCACCTAAGCCTCCCAAAGTGCCAGGATTACCGGCGTGAGCCACCACACCAAGCCCACCCTGATGTTTTATATTCTATTTCTTATTTTCCTTAATTACTAAATTGCTTTCAGGACTCACCATTTGCAAAACACCGTTCAGACCTAGCCCACTGTGGCAAACATTCTCCCTGAATTCTCCCTGTGGCAGACATCTACACTGGTAGTCTCCAGTGAACTTTATCTCCTGGGATTCATGCCCTTCCATGCCTACTCTGGGCTTGACCATATGACTTACTTTGATGAATGGGACATTAGCAAATGTGATGTAAGCAGAGGCTTGATAAGCACCTGTATACTGGGGCTTGTCCACTCCGAATCCTTCCTCTTGGAAACCAGCTGCCATGTTATAAAGCAGCTTGAACTACGCTATGGGATGATGAGATGCCCCATGGAGACAGAACCTACAAGAGAAGTCATCCTGGACACTGTGGCTCCAGTTGAGCTCCCTGCTGAGCTCCCTGAATGTAGCTAAATGACTGACCACAGCTACATCATGTAGGTATATGAACTGCCCAGCCAAGCCCAGGCAACATTCACAACTGTGAAAAAGAATAACTATATTGCTTTAAGCCATGAAGTTTGGGGATGGTTTGTCATGCAGCAATAGATACCTGATACCAAGTTTATTCTGAGAGGCAACAGGTCCTGCTAAAATGATTTGCTTCCCTATATTCTTTTGCAACTAGGGGTGACCACAAACAAGGACATAAACTGGGAAAACTCTTTATTCCTGACACAAGGAATACCCCATTCAAACTGCTCCCTCACTTCTTTCTTCTTCCAGTCCAAAGACAAACATTACATGCAGAGGCAGAGCAGCCTTCTTTCAATGAGGAAGCAACTTAGCACAATGAAATCGTCAAGAACTACAAAGGAGTGTTGTATGAGAGGAGAGAAGTTAGCACTCCCCTCCACAAGGATGGAAGAGGCCCTTGGGCCTGACAACACACACATGGTTAAAGCACTGCCACCTACTTTGTGGCATCTAACCTTCGTTTTTTTAAAATAAATAAATAATAAAATTAAAATTACAAAAAAAAAAAAAAAAAAAAGAACTGCAAAGTAGAAGGAGAGAAATAGTTTCATCCTTAGCATCATGGAGCCACCATCCCAGCCTTAGGACTTCTTGTTATATGAGAAAAACAAACCCCTACATGATTAATTTTCTGTTGTGTGCAGCCAAACACATTCCCTATGAAGATGATCAAACTCAGAAAAGGCTTTTGCTTGGAACTACAGAGTGAGTCAGCAGGAGGGCAGGACAACACTCAGCCTCTTGATTTGCAGGAAAGTACTTTTTCTATTACACTATCCTTAAAACATGCAGGCAACTGGCCAGGACCCCAGGCACAGGCACACCCAAAGAAGGCCACATCCAAACCAAACCAACTCACCGTGACTCATTCGTCTTAGTGTTTATTTCAAGTTTCTTAAGAGAAAGGTGACAGGCAATTAAAGATTTCACAGGAAACCACAGCAAGACTGGCCCAGTGCCTCTGAGTAGGAACAGGTAAGTATGATTGCATACAGCTGGCTCCGGGAAGTCTGCCATGATGGAAAAAGCAAGTATTGGAATCCAAGGAGAATACATGCAGCTACACAACGAAGCCATCATAACCCTGTATCCTGGGATTTTCCTCAACAGCCCCTATTTCAAATATCCTGTGCTACTGTGAGATTACATCAAAGCTATGTGTTCTGATTTTTGACTCGGAAAATGTGGTCACAGTAACCACCAAATCCATCTCCCTGCACCTCCCCACCTGCTTGACAAACACTGAAATCCATTTAACGAGGAACAAAAGCCTTCTATCCCACAGTTGAGAAGGCTGAGCATAAAAATCTCCCTGGTGGAAAAACCTGGAGACATAAACTTCTCATGGAATTATGCCATGTGCCCTAGAAATTGAGAGCACCACATTTCCCAGATTTCAGCCTTTTGCTGAGCTTGGCCCTGAGATGACCAATTACAGGAGCTCTTGGCTACTCTCTGCCCTCATCCTCAAGACCGAGCATAGAGCACTCACCTCTATCCTTTTCTAGGCCAGACTTCCTGGAGGTCTGGAGGGTCACAGCATCTCCCTTTTGACCAATGCCCAGCACGGCCACCCAGTCTGACACCCTGCCCTACACAAGAATGCCTGCCACACAATCCCTTTCTCTCAGCTCTAACACCTGGAATTAACAGGGCCTTACTACCTCCAAGCCAGATTACGCTGCTATCTTGCTTTGTCACCCAGCCTGGGGTACGGTGATGCATTTGTGGCTTGCTGCAGCCTCAAACTCTTGAACTCCTGGGCTCAAACAATCCCCCTGCCTCAACCTCCTGAGGAGCTGAAATATAGGCACACACCACCAGCCCCGGCTAATTATTTTTATTTTTTGTAGAGATGGGGTCTCACTATGTTGACCAGGCTGGTTTTGACCTCTGGCCTCCAGCAATCCTCCTGTCTCAGCCTCCCAAAGTGCTGAATTACAGGCATGAGCTATCCATGACTGGCCCTTTGTACCTCTTGATACTCACCTGAAATCTGATTGGTCCTTTTCCTATCCCCATAGACTTACCAAAACGTGGTGGATGCCATTCTTTCATCCAGGATCCCCTGTCTTTCACTTTCCTGACTTTGCCATGATAGGTAAGCTCAGTTCCTCATAAGACATGTTCCCCAATCACCTCACAATTAGCTTACCAGGAATCAGAAAGAGAAATAGGAATGGTAGCCAGAAGGGGGACGGTAGTTCCCCACCCTCTATCTGTACCCATCCCAAGACCCCAAGCTCTCACCAAAAAAGTAGTGAAGCTGAAGCCCAGGAAATACTCACTCACAGTCTGTCCTGCTGCCTCAGCTCCAACCTGCCACTGTGTCTGACAGAAAGATGCCAGTTGCTGTTGGTAAAGTAAAATTTCAGCACTTCTTAATCCAAGAAGGGCCCTCTGAGCTAACAAACTTACTCCCTTCTCTTGCAAAGAGAGAGACAGACAACCAGAGACAGGGATTGGCCTGAGGTCAATGGTAGCAGAACTAAGTCACAAATCCCCTGCTCTGACATAAGGTCTCATGCCCTTTAAACCACATCATGGGCCCAGTGCAGTGGCTCACACCTGGAATCCCAGCACTTTGGGAGGCTGAGGTGAAACACTTGAGGTTAGGAGTTCAAAACCAATCTGGCCAACATGGGGAAACCCTGTTGCTACTAAAAGTACAAAAAAATTAGCCGGGCGTGGTGGCAGGTGCCTGTAATCCCAGCTACTGGGGAGGCTGAGGCAGGAGAATCGCTTGAACCTGGGATATAGAGGTTGTAGTGAGCCAAGATCATGCCACTGCACTCCAGCCTGGGTGACAGAGTGAGACTCCATCACACACATGTGTGCACACACACACACAAATACACACACACACACGATGATCCCCTACACTGCAGCAAGGGTCACACGAAAACAAACCAAGAAGCACTGGGACTCACTCTGCTCAGTTCTGCCAAAAGAGAAGACCCAGTGGTAGATAGTTTTAGGAGTTAGGAAAAGTTATCCACCAGTGTGTAGGGAGTCCTCAAGCCACTTACTTTCAGGTTCAGTGATTCATTTGCGGGCCACAGCTATGATTTATTACGGCAAAGGGGTACAAAGAAAAATCATCAAAGGGAAAAGTCCAGAGGAAATCAGGTGCAGATTTTCCAGAGTCCTCCCAGTAGAGTCACAGGATGTACTTAATTCTTCCAGCATGGAATTGTGACACGTGTGAAGTGTTTTCTACCAGGGAAATTCATTAGAGACTCACTGTGAAAGGTCTATATTGGGGGCTGGTCACTTAAGCACCTTCTGCCCAGCACATACCAAGATTCCAGACTCTCGGAAGGAAAGCAGACGTTCAGCCTAAACCACAATGTTTGCACAGTTTAGGCACAGTGAGCCACTCTTATCAGTTAGGGTAGTATAAACACCCCCAAAATCCAACTTCCCAGAAGCCAGCCAAGCGCCAACCTTGCCAGCAAGCCTTTTTTAAGAATAGCAGTCTCAGGCCTGCTATGTTAACTCTTTTCTGTACAACCTGCAATGAGGTTTTAGAAAAAGATCAGCCAGACACACAGGGAGGCCATCAACCCACATAAAAGCTAATACATATGTGATAATACGCAAAACAGAGGGTCACAGGGGCTCTGGAGTGGTCAGGTTTCATGCAGTGGGGAAGTGAGCCATGAGGGGGCCCAAGACAACTCTCAGGCCAGAATCAGAATCTTCATTCCAAAACCTCTTCCCCCCAGGTTGTCCCTGTCTGAGTAAAGAGCACTGCTATCACCCAGCTGCTCAAGCTGAATACCACCATTCTTGAAAGCCCCTCTCCCTCAATGCCTACAGCCACTTACTTCTTCACCCAGTCCCATCAATTCTACCTTCACAAACATGTAAGCCTTCCATTTTTCTATGTCTGCATTATCTCCACCCCAGCCTAAGCCCTGATCATCTCCCCCAGCCTGCCACAATAGCCTCCTACTGGTCTTCCATCTTGTACACTTGCCCCATCCATTCACATATTGGCAGAGTGGTCTTTTTAAAATGAAAACTGGACAAGGCCTCTCCTGCTTTTAAACCCCCTCGAAGTCTTCCTATTGCACTTTATTAGAATAAAGCCTAAAAGAGAAGCCCTGAAGACCACCAAAGTCTGGCCCCTGCCTACCTCTCTAACCTCAAATGAAAGCAGCCTCCTTCTCTTTTCTTCCATTACCTTCATAACATTCATCACATCTTGTGGTTATAATGTATTCGTTTTCTTGATTATTTCCCGTCTGTCACAGGAACAAGCGCCAGGGGGACAAGAACCATGGCTGCCTTGTTCACCACTGCAGACCCACATGCCAGGTAGGGTAGCCACACTCAATACATAGTGAATACATGAATAAATGAGTGAGTAAACAGACAGATCAGGCATCAGATAGGTGGGGATATGGAGAATAGGTGGACCAGAACACAGAGGTACTTGGCATGACCACATGAGCTCTTGAACATCATCTGGCAGTCTGCAGACTTTTTAAAATGCATTTCTGGCCGGGCACAGTGGTGTGTGCCTGTAGTCCCAGTTTCTCAGGGGCCTAAGGCAGAAGGATCACCCGAGCCCAGGAGGTTGAGGCTGCAGTGGGCCAAGATCACGCCACTGCACTCCAGCCTGGGTGATAGAGTGAGATCTTGTCCCCAATATATAAATAAACAAAATGCATTTCTTCCCAACTGCATTACCACTCTAGGAGCTATAAATATCCTTATCCACATTTTACAGATCATAAAAGTGAGGTTCAGAGAGACGAAAGGACTTGCCTAAGTCCACAGCAAGCAAGCAAAAAAGCCAGGATTCAGACCCATGTTCAGAGTAGAACAGCCTCATGAGAGCAGGACCCAACATCTGCTCTTGTCCTCAGGCATCCTGATTGGCCCTCCACTTTGCCAAACAGACCAGCACTGGTTATGATAAACCTCTGGCAATGTCAGAGCTTAAGGAAAGCAGAAATTTTTCACAGCCCTGGAAGGACAGCTTCCTGTAGAGTTAGGTACAACAACCAGTCCTATTGGGTGAGTGGCCCAGCCCTCCCATAGAGCTGGAGCTGTAAAAAGTAGTTCACTGCCAACGCAGTATCCAATATCACCTCCCACCAGGATAGGAACCCTGCTCTGCCCTGCAGGCTCTGGGACATCTGTGGGATGTCACTATTCTAGCCTGCCTGCCGAGCTCCAATGGAAAAGGAAGCCCTATCGGGGCTGGCCAGGAGCCAGAGCAGCTCACAAGGTACTGTGCCTGGATACCAACCTCACCCTTGGCCCCCACAATTCAGCCATCAGCTTCAAACACTGGGAAGATTGTACCAAGCCCTATAAGCCAGCAGTCAGTGACTTGCCTGAGACAGATTCCCAGGCTGGTTCCAGAGCTGAGCCTCAAGAGTCCTGGCAAGGAACACAACCTTCCATTCTTTCTAATGGGCAGCCTGCCCAAGATAGCTGCCTAAGCCAGGCACAAACAGACCCAATGGGTAGTGGCAAGGGGCCTCCTACCTAGGGAGTTTTGACTGGAAGGAAAAAGGTTGTCACATGTTATAGAGCTTCAGGGTCTCAGAGAGGAAGCGATCAGGGAAGAAGAAAACCATCCTGGTTTTGGATAAAGGGGCTGGTTAGAAATTGTACTCCTATCGGGCATAGTGGCTTACGCCTATAATCCCAACACTTTGGGTGGCCAAGGTGGGTGGACCACCTGAGGTCAGGAGTTCGAGACCAGCCTCAGCAACATGCTGAAACACCGTCTCTACTAAATACAAAAAAAATTAGCCGGTCGCGGTGGCACATGCCTGTAACCTTGGGGAGCTGGGGCTACTTGGGGGGCTGGGGCAGGAGAATAGCTTGAACCTGGGAGGCAGAGGCTGCAGTGAGCCAAGATTGCATTATTGCACTCCAGCCTGAGCAACAACAGCAAAACTCAGTCTCAAAAAGAAAAAGAAATTGTACTCCTGACCCAGCCTACTTAGGAGGCAAGAGGAAGAAAGTTAATATATACTGAGGGCCAAACACTTTACACACTTTGAATAATTATAGCAAGCCTCTGAGGTTTATTCTTTCCACCTTACAGAGAAAGGAACTAAGTCTCAAAAAGCAGAGGAGACTTGCCCAGGGACCTGCTGGCCAGTAACTGGCAAACCTCAGGCTTAAACCCAGGCCTCCGACAACCCAAGCCTGGGATTTTCCACTCTAGCATGTCATCACACACACTCAGATGAGAGAGTGGTTCCAGTTCCTTTACAAAACATAATGAGAGACATTCAAAACAGCAGAAAAGAAGGTAAAATACCTAGGCATAAATTTATGAAGAAATATTTTAACATTATAAAACACCCTGAAATATGCTAAATACACTTGATCAATGGGAAGATGTAAGGACTGAACGTAGGCTGGGCACAACGGCTCATGTCTGTAATCCCAGCATTTTGGGAGCCGAGGTGGGCAGATCACCTGAGGTCAGGAGTTCGAGATCAGCCTGCTCAACATGGCAAAACCCATCTCTACCAAAAATACAAAATTTAGCCGAGCGTGGTGGCACATGCCTGTAATCCCAGCTACTCAGGAGACTGAGGCAGGAGAAATGCTTGTGCCCAGGAGGTAGGTGGAGGTAGCAGTGACCCAAGATCATGCCACTGTACTCCAGCCTGGGCAACAGAGCAAGACTCTGTCTCAAAAAATAAAAATACAAATAAAAGTGAGTTCTCCCCTTTACTCTGTCTCTCAGCACCCTTTAATTTTCCTTCCCTGTCCTTATCAGAGTTTGAAATTATATATTTATTTACATGCTTATTTGTTAAATCTCTTTCTCTCCCATGAGACTATGAGCTCCATGAAGGCAGGCATGGGATCTACCTTGTTCGCCACAATATACGGGGAACCCATCACTTGATCTAGCAAACAGTAAACATTCAATAAATACTTGTTGAAGAAATGAATGTATAAATTGAGAATTAGGTCACTGGGACTCTGCAAAAGGGAGAATGAATCTCTTTCAAATATCTCTTTCAAATATCTACCAGGACCAGAATGAAAAAGAATCTGTTTCCCACAGGCGATGGGCCCCCTGTGTGTGTACACCAGGACGTAAGAATCTCAGGAGCAAGCGCCAGGCACAGTGGCTCACACCTGTAATCCCAGCACTGTAGGAGGCCAAGGTGGGTGGATCACAAGGTCAGGAGTTCAAGGCCAGCCTGACCAACATGGTGAAACCCCGTCTCTTTTTTTTAAAAAAAAAAAGAAGAATCTTAGGAGCAAATGAGTGGGGAAATGTGTGCCGCCTTCCATAGGCATCAAGATTCTTCTTTCTTTTTATTCCTATCTCTATAGATTCTTAGCCTAAGATTTTAACAGAGAATATCGCAACTAACTATGGGAACTGGGAATTACCCAGCAGCTTTCAAAGCAGCCTACAAATGATGGTAAGCCAAGGCTGCCCTCTGGCACCCTCCTCTGTGTGCCCAGGCCACATATCACAAATCATCATGGCTTGTATACCCTTTGTATATCTTTTTTTTTCAGTTGTCAGAATACAGCGGCACTTTGAAAACATTTGTGTATTCAAAGCAAAGTAAAACCAACAAGTTGATATGTGCATATTTGAGAAAGAAACAAGCAGACCAAACAGAAAACCTGTGGGGACAGGGTTTCTTACCCAGCTTCTGTTTAGAGATTGGGACTACACAGCTCTTGCTGCAGCCAAACGTGCAGCATTTCTTTACACCTGGACATGTCTCATCAGTGATGCACCGTTTCAAGCAGGATTGTTTCCGAATAACCCTAGGGCAATCTCTTTTCCTCCCTGTAGCAAAAAGGGAGACAGCCAAGAAAAGAGAAATAACACCCACAAGCACAGTAGAAGGGAAAAACAGAAAAAGGAAGCCCTGAGCTTCATTTCAGCCTCTGACCCTGGTGCTAAGGCAAAGACACAATAATAACAATAGTAATAGTAAATATTTACTGTAACATTTACTGATGTTTACCTCGCGCCATGAACACCTCATTTGATCCTCACAATTATCCCCATTTTATAGATGAAGAAACTGAGGCTAAAAGCTTAAGGTTTACAAAGAGCTAAGGCTTATTTAAGGCTTAAAAAGGTCTGCTTGGCTCTAGGGTCTACTCTCTTAAGGATTATCTTTTTTTTTTTTTTCCTAATCATTATCTTAAACAGGCTTCCCTTTACAACTCTTCCCTTCAGCCTTCACAGGAACTTTGAGTCCAAAGTAAAAGACACAGATAATCAATGTACTCTTTCCTGATAGAAGGCAAAGAACTGGGGGCACTGAATAATTAATGGAGGAGGGACCCTAAAAGAGTAAAGAAGAAGTACTCTAGGCAAGCTAGACTTCAAGAGTCAACCTAAGAGGTGGGATGCTCTCTGCTTCTATCTATCCCAGAAGCAAGGTCAGAGAGTACACCCAGATTTTGCCCTTCATGCCAACATACCCTTAGGAATGTCTCGGCAGATTCGACCACAGCCTGTGGTGCAGCACTTCTGCCCAGCCAGACACGATGCATCACCCTGGCACAGCTCTTTGCATGGGTTCTTATCAGGAGGGCATTCTCCCTCTTTCACTGCAAAAGATATCATAGGAGTTTGGGGTAACTAACCAGGCCTCTTAAAATGGGGAATAGAGGCCAAACTATTTCAAGGACATTCAGCCCCTCCAGACATCTCTATCCAAAGTATTTCTGCACCACTACACTCTAGCCCGGGTGACAGAATGAAACCCTGTCTCTAAAAAAAGAAAAATTCTGGAACCACCTTTCCCTCCCAGCACACAACTACTAACATACATCCACCACTGCTAAAGGAGCAGCCATCCTGCAGATAACGAGAGAGAAAGGTTGGAATGATCCTGTTCTCATTTAATGAGTTCTAGGGAAAAGCTAGAACCGCTAGTAAGCCCAACTAGAAGTCCTATCTCCTTGTCCAGAGAGGGTAAAGAAAGCCTGGAAGAACTACCCAGGCCATCCTGAGAATCTGTTCATCCAGTCCTGTCCTACAGATGATCATCTCCACCTACGAGCAACCTTACTCTGGGAGAAGGCAGGGATGACTTCTCCTCTCCTCTAGTCACTTTCTGTTACTGTTGGCCAGGGATCCCAAATGATAGCTCACCATGTTCTCCTGCAGTTATCCAGGATTCCAGGGACCCAAGAGCAAGAAGAAAGAGGCAGCTTAACATCATGATGATGCTGAGAGTTGGGATGAGAGCTCAGTTCAGGCCAGAGGTGTACACCTTGCCCGGAGTATCAGATGAGGTATGGGCAGGACTAGGGATGGCCCCAAACCCAGACCCAAAGCCTTCCCTTTCGCAATATGCCCCAAGAATGTCTTCTCCTGACAAGAAGAAGAGGGATTGGCTGCGGAGTGTGGGAAAATTCCTGGCACTACCAAAGGGCAAATGTGATGGGAGGATCACACTCTTTAAGCAATATGCACAACACTCCTGGATCATGAGGAACCTAGTGGGTAGCTGGAAAAATGGAGGGATGGCCACTGGAATAAGAATCAAAGAGAGCCCCAAAGGGCATTGGAAGGACACGGCTTCAGCCCAAATGACAGACAGAGAAACTAAACACAATACTTAAGAAAATAGTCAAAGCTGGTAACATAACCAAGCATAATAAAATTGTGGCTCCTATTCATCCCAGCAACCTAGAAAAGACAGAATGGAACAGACCAGTCAGAAACTATCAAATAGGCCGAGCTACACGGATCACCTGAGGTCAGGAGTTGGAGACCAGCCTGGCCAACATGGTGAAACCCTGTCTCTACTAAAAATACAAAAATTAGCTGGCTGTGGTGGTGCATGCCTGTAATCCCAGCTACTTGGGAGGCTGAAGCAGGAGAATCGCTTGAACCCAGGAGGCAGAGGTTGCAGTGAGCAGAGATTGTGCCACTGCACTCTAGCTTGGGTGACAGAGCAAGACTGTCTCAAAAAAAAAAGAAAAAAGAAACTAACAAAAACCTACAGAAAAGCAGTAGTTGAGTTTGTTAAGAACTAAT